GCCACTCCAGGCACTCTCCCCTTGGGAAAGGATATGGAGAACAAGCCACAAGGCAAACCCCAAAGAGGCCCAGGGGCTCCTGTGCCTGATTATCTCTAATTAATAACACAAGGATAAGTTTTCCAGCCAGCCAGCACATTTTGCAGAAGATATTTAACATTTCCCACAACCTGACAGGCTGATCTTCCACAACCCCACAGCACCTGGACAGATGTTCTCCCCACCAGATGCTGATCTGCACAGCACACCCGAGCCACCAGCCAGCTTCCATCTGCCTCCCTCCACCTTCTCCTGCTCTGAAAATATAGGGATGTTCAGGTGAGAATTTTGAGTGCATGAGCAAATCTGTGTTCAGCTCCCTGGAGGACTCTCAATTTAAAATGGCCTTTGTTCACTCACTGCATGACACCTCCTAAATTAATAACTCCAGGGGCTTTTTCTTTTGCTTTGGTCCCCAAGTTTTAAGTCACTCCTGGAGAAAAGCAGACAGCAGGAATAAAAACAAACGAGAAAGGCCAAAATGTGTTTCACACTGATAGAAACAACCAGAAACAGGCTGCTTGGGAAGGGCTTTTATATTTAAAACCCTTCGCTGCAGTCAAACTGAAATCTTGCACATTTACCTGGATGGAAAAGTAATTTCCAGCTTTGAGTCACTAATTAATCCACCTTTCCAGAGGACACGGCATCACACGGGGAATTCAGCCCAGCCTTAGAGTGGCTGGTATTGAAAACCCATTTTCTACCTTGGTGAAAATCAGAAATCAGCAGCAGGACACAAATGGACCTGAGCCTCCAAATTTTCTACTTAATGAGATGGATGCAAAGCAGCTCCACACTCCAGGAATGGCTGGAGATGAGAACTGTAAAGACATTAACTCCTCACACCAGCACCCTTCTCTAGGGCTGCACAAACCTCCTGGGTTAGTCCTTCCCCTCATTTAAAGTGCAGAAAGGGCTGGAAACTATTTGAGGCTTGAAGAATTCTAAAGGAATTACACAGAGACCCTTCATGCCAGGCTGGAGAGGCTGCTGGGCACTGAACCCACCCAACAGTCCTGTTGAAACCAAGGGCAGTTCAGCTCTCTCTTCACGTGGAAACATTGCTCTGCACCACAGAACACTCCACTCAGTGTCTCTTTAAAGCCAGAAAAACATTCAACTTTTCTGAAGTCCTGTTTTCTCCCAGTCTGTCTAATGACATTTAGGGTTTTCCTTTCTCTAACTTCTTCACCCCACTGTGGGCCAAACTTCTCAAAAATCCCAAATACTGGGGAAAAAATGGAAGTAGCAGAGTGCATGGAGTCAGAGATCAGGTCAAAATAGACTGGGAGTGCCAAAACCCTCTCTGCAGGTCCCTGAACAGCACATACAACCAGAACTGGCAACAGGAGGGGTACCCAGACATTTCCATCTCCCTTTAACACTATCCCAACGAGCTGGTAAGCTGAGAACCTGCTCTCCCACATGGGTATCATCAGATGGAGTAAGAGATACTCCCTCTCCCTCTCCACCCGAGGTGCTGCCACGTGAGCTGGTTTGTTCACAGGTATTCCAGGGAAAACCTGCCCTTCCAGGGAAAACTTGGGCTTCCAGGAGCGGAAAGCAAGGGATACAACCCCAAGCCATGAAGGGCTGAAAGCCTCTTCCAAGCCCTGTGGAGAAACCCAAGCACTGCTGAAAAACACCTCGCTGCTGGCAGCCCCAGCAAGTCGGGCTGTTCAGGGCTTAATTGCGTTTCTTAATCAGCTTAATGGCCGTGGCTCCCCGGGCAAGCCCCGGGGCAGCGCGGTGGGAACTGCCGGGAAAAGGAGGCGGCAGCAGGGGACGGGGAAATCGGCGCTTGGAGCGTCCAGCTCGGGGATAAACGCCGGGATTCGGGAATGGCTGGGAAAGAGAGGGAGTGCTGGCAGGCAGGGGGCTCGGCTGGGTCAGGAGGAGGAGGAGGAGGAGGGATAAGCTGATTGCCGGGATGAAGGGATGAAGGGAAGGCTGAGCCACCCCATAAGGGCTTAGGGATCAGAGGGGACTGTTTTGCACACTGCTTCTTCCCAAGGGACTCTGCCTCCAGGGATGGGTCCAGCACACACAGAGGTGGTGCCAGGAGGGTGCCCCAAGCACAGCATCACCCTCACCCTCCACCGAGGGCACCTCCCTGTGCCATGAGCCCACTCCACACCCGGCTGGGTGAAGCACAAGCCCAGCTGAGCTGTCCAAGCACGGAGTTAAACCCGTGCCCTGGGACCAGACTGATGTTCCCAGTGGTTCCCACCATCGATCCTGCCACAGTGGAAAGTGCTGACCCAGGGCCCCACCGGGAACAGACTCAGCACAGCATTCCCTGGATCAAGCCCTGCTGCCTGGGCTTTTCCACTCAGGTTTGTAGGTATATGATTAACACTTCTGTGCCAAGTCCTGCCCCAGAAGAAAGCACTGAGGTTCCACTTCCACTTCATGCTTCCTCCCTCCTCCCCATTCCACAGCCAGGCTGCAGCTCACTCAGGGTGAGGAGCTGTGACATCCCTCGAGGGCTAAAATCAGGGAAAGCTGGGATCAATCTGAGCTGCAAATCCACAGCTGTCCTGACACCATCCTAAACCAGGCAGCAAGCAAGGGCAGCTATTCCATGGGGGAAACTGAGGACATCATAATCCAAAACTGGTTTGGGTTGGAAGGGATCTTAAAGATCATCTCATCCCACCCCCAGCCATGGGCAGGGACACCTTCCACTAGTCCAGGTTGCTCCAAGCCCCGTCCAACCTGGCCTTGGACACTTCCAGGGATGGGGCAGCCACAGCTTCTCTGGGCAACCTGTGCCAGGGCCTCCCCACCCTCACAGGGAAGAATTCTTCCTGATTTCTGACCTAAACCTTCCCTCCTTGAAGCCATTCCCCCTTGTCCTGTCACTCCAGGCCCTTGGAAACAGTCTCTCTCCATCTTTCTTGCAGCTCCCTTCATGTCCTGGAAGGCCACAATCAGGTCACCCAAAGCTTCTCCTCTCCAGTTGAACAATCCCAGCTCTCCCAGCCTTTCCTCCCAGCAGAGCTGCTCCAGCCCTCTGATCCTCTTGGGGCCTCCCCTGGGCTCATCTGGTCACTGCTCAGCCCCTCCTGCCANGTCCAACCTGGCCTTGGACACTTCCAGGGATGGGGCAGCCACAGCTTCTCTGGGCAACCTGTGCCAGGGCCTCCCCACCCTCACAGGGAACAATTCCTTTCCAATATCCCATCTAATTCTACCCTCCTTCATCTTAAAGCCATTCCCTCTTGTCCAATCACTCCATGTCCCTGTAAAAAGTCTCTCTCCTGCTCTCTTGGAGCCCCTTTAGGCACTGGAGGCAAATTAACATCCAGGCAAGGTCACCCCCCACCCCTTGCTGGGTATTCCCAGGCAGCACTGACACTGTGCAGTGCCCACCTCCCTCCCTTGTGCCATTCCAAGGCTGTGCCCAGCCCCAGGCTACTCCTGCACGTGCCACACAGGAGCATTTGGAAGATCAAGGTCACAATTTTAATTTCAATTTCAATGCTGAAACATCTGCTGCCTCCCGGAGCAGGAAATGAAGGGAAAAAACCACCACCATTAATAAAGCATTTGCTCCGAGCTGATTCTTGCCCAGGATTCCTTCTCTCCGGGTTTATGAAATTACCTGTTGACAGACTCGATTTTATCATTAGAAAAAAAGCTCTTTCAGACACAAATTGCTCGGCACCAGCAGGACTCGGCCCACGAGTGTGGCTGAGGAGGTTTCACCCATGCTGGCAGCTATTTCTGTGCCATTACTGCCACCACACAAACAAAACCAACATTTCAGGAGGCTCCCAGGGCTCGTCCTCCTCCTGCTTCCCAAGGAAACCCCACAGGTTTGTGTCTAGACATCCTGCAAACACAGGAGTGAGGGAAGGCAGAGCCATTAACTGAGTGCTGGGAGCAGCAGCCACAGCTCTGGGGGTGCCAAATCCATCAGAGCTGGCCCAACATCACCCCCCTGCCCAGGGCAGGCTTGGTAAAGCCATGCCAGGGCTTGGGCACTACTTCCAAGGGGTTTAATATGTGTAACATCAGCACAGCCACAGCACAAGTGGGGACAGTGAGCACCTCCCAGGGCAGAGAGGGGACACTCAGAGCACAGGGACAGTCCCCAAACCAAGTCCTTTCCCCACCCCAAGCCTCAGCCCAGCTCCTGGCCAGGCTGATGTTGAGCCCAACGCTGCCTCCCTGCCAGGCAGGGCTTGGCTCATGCAACAGTTACCACTTTTGGGTGCTTTTCCACCCAAAGGAACAAGGAGATGGCACTGCTGCCCATCAGCTTGGGGTGAGGTGGGCTGAGCTCTGACCCAAGGGGTATTTTGGGGTAAGTCTGCTGGGACAGTGCTACAGACCCCTCAAGGCAAGATGTCCCATCCCTGGAAACATCCAAGCTCAGGTTGGATGGGGCTCTGAGCAACCTGGTGGAGCTGAAGCTGCCCCTGCTTGCTGCAAGGGGTTTAGAGGGGCTTTAAAGGTCCCTTCAACCCAAATCATTCTGTGATTCCAGGCCTGGGCACTGGGGGGACCAGTGGCTCACATCACATATTCCAATAACACAGGGAACTATCCACACCCCCCCCCCAAATGGATGCACTCAAAGCTGTAAACAAAATCAAACCCCAGCAAGGTCAGAGCAAGCAAACAGTGAGAGACATGGGGAGCTTCACACTTCACACTGAAAATGCCATTACAAACTAATAGACAGAAATCCTTCCTCCTCTCTCCTGCCTCTCTTATCCTTCATGCTCAAGTAGTCACCATTAGTGCCTCAAACATTCAAAGCACACAATATTATCACAGATTTTTTTTTTTTAATAATAATTACAGCTACTTCTGGGTACAGAAGTGCCTGAAGGCAAGGAGATGTTCACACTCTCTTCTTTATATATATTTTCTTTCTTCTGCTGCACCAAAAGCTTGAAGGAACAAGCAGCTCCCCTGGCAATAAGCACATTAGAGCAGCAATTCAGCTGATGGAATGGTGCTTCTCAGAGAATTCACAGTCCAACACTGGCAGAGCATTTTGCACACTTCATCTTCCTCCCAGCTCAGCAGCACCTACGAGGGTTTTTTTGCTGTCTGAGGGTTTCCAAAGTGCTTTTAACGAAATAAGCTGTTGATTCCAGAAGTCCATCACTGACAATTCACAGCACAAACGGCCCTTTGCTGCTGTGACAAATCCAAACAGCTTCAAGCCTGGACAGATGACAAAGATCCAAGTGCTGTGAAGCAGAAGGTGACCACGGGAAGCAGGTCCCAGCTTTCCAGCAGGCAGGTGCCATCCTGTGTTGGGATGGTGCTGGGGCCTGCCCTGCTGCTGTGCCTGGCCTGGAGACACGTGGCTCCAGAGCTCTGTCCTGCTCCCAACCCTCCATTTCACACTTACCACTGACCATCACCACTGTTACTTCACCTGTGGGGAGGATGGACACAGGGCTCTGGTAAAACATTGGATCCACTGGTTAGGACTGCAGGGAAGGCTGCTCTGTATCACAGAATCACAGAATCAGCTGGGTTGGAAGGGACCT